CTTTTGAAACGGTTTCTTCTTAGAATACTTCTTGGTAATTCCCTTTGGACCTTGTTGCTGCTTGGTTGCTTTGTAGTAATGATATGTTGTTCTAATATTATGAAGTTCACTTTCGGCAGCAGTTTCGAAACTATTAGTAGAAATGTATCTGTTAAGGAATTCTCTACCAACATCGAAAGTGGAAACTTGTAAACCTTCTTTAAGGAAGAGGGCTTCAACTTTGCAAATCATTCTACAAAGTTCTGTAATCTCTGTCATGACTGTAAAATCAAGTGGAGAATTCAATGCATATTCCAACAATTCAATTTTGATTTGAGTTAACTCTACTAGTTTAGAATAACCAATACTGTTAATCTCATCCAATCTAATGTCTGGGGCAAACTTGGAAATCACATCCTTGTATTTAAGGAGCAAATATTGAATTCTTCTCTTGGTCTCCTCTTGTTTACGGTCTTTAAGTATCTCGGAGGATACTGCAGATAGTAATAAATCATCTCCAATGGATGAAGGAACATTGTAAGAACTTCTAAGGTCTCTATAAGTTTGACGTAACCAAACTTCTGGAGATATAGCTTCTGGATTAACAAAATCATCATCTGATTCTTCTTCTCTCTCCTGAACTTTCTTAGTAAGTTCAGAGATATTTCCTATTACGGTTCTCAAAACTCCAATCATTTCTTGCATTTGGGCTTTGATCGCCATGATATCATGTTCAGATGAACTACTGGCAAAACTATCTCTACCTGAATTGGAAGAAGACGAATTGTTTGACGAAGAGGGTGCAGTTGAAGAACTATCCAACAAAGTTGAATTGCTTAGCAACGAACTGGAAACAACAGTTGAAATACCATCATCTAAGGCACTGTTAGATGATGAAACTGAAGTAGATTGTTTGCGCTTATTTCTATTAGCTACAGGTGACATGGCCTTTAACTTTCTAAGCTTCTTAGCAGCTTGTTGTTTTCTTGCTTTCACTGGTGTTGTGGGGTATTCTACTTCAACTGCTGGGAGATCTTCATCAGATGAAGAGGAGTCAATATCTTGAGGCTTCTTAGCGACCATAGTATGACAATTTTTTTGAGCATACTTTCTATTATTAGTTTATTCAATTGTTGTTTTCAAGAAACACTACTTTATCTCAGTAAACTTCGATAAGAACAGTTTTGTTTACAGCATGTGCAAATCTTACATCCTTTAGGTATTTGGATTTTATGAATTTATTAGCCGAAATGTTGATAGTTGGACTGCCAGTGCTTGTGGACCAATTAAAAAGACCAACAACAGTTATTTTGAGCGATCCCGAATTTAGTTTGATTCAAGTTGGTCTCGTCAATCTTGTTGCTAGAGAATTTGCTCATACTTTATTCTACCGACACGTGGAACAATACGGCAGCGATATTGAATTTTCTAATGACACATTATGTGGAGAGTACTCTCACGATCTAGCTCTATATGGATTTTTATTGTTTATGGATGATTTATTGGAAAAGGGGTGTAATGTAATAACTCTTGTTACTATAGATATTGATGAAAATCTAAAATATAATTCCTTAATTAATTCAATTTACAAACGAGTCCCCCACAAGATTAGTGCCCATAAATTGGGTTAGATATTTTGATAAACGTACTTTACAAATAATAATAACAAAGTATTGCAAAGTAATTGCTCCAAGTTCAACATTTTATTGAATTAAAAATTATAGATTGGCTTAAGCTTGAAAGGCTTTTTGACAGCTGGAGCAGAACCAACACTCTTGGTGGAAACAGTGCTCTTCTTGACAACAACTGGAGCCTTCTTTGGCTTACCGGCTTTCTTTGGCTTAAAAGTCTTGGTAGTCTTGGTTGGTTTGGTAGTTCTAACAGCTTTAGTGGAAGCTCTTCTAGCAACTGGAGCCTTTCTAAGGTTCTTCTTAGCAGCCTGAATATTATTAAGGATTAATAGATTATTAATAAGCATATTTAAAATTGAAAATACTCACAGCAGCCATACCGAAAGTGGCAAAGCACAAGACAGCGATCAAGAGACAGGCAATGATAATCTTTGCGTTCATTTTGTTTTGTTTTTTTTGTGAATAATGTTTTCAAAGAGATGGAGAGGATGCTCTGTATTTATACAGCTTATCTAAGTCGAAGAATATCACCCACTGAATCTTCAATTGATGACCTCGTTTGGGTGGTGTAAACCGGCCTTACTGCTTTCAATTACGCGCATAGTTCATGATGATTGGATGGTGAAACTGCAGTAAAAAGATGTTACGATCAATGGATGAACTTGTTATCCCTCTCCCTTAATATTCCAATCAGTAATTCCACGCAGCAAAGGAGAGATATCGACCCCATAGTCACACTGTAATAGCTCCGATTATAGAAACATTTCGGGTTTTTTGTGTGGGGAATAAACGGGAGTGCCCAAATCAACAAAATGTATAGAAAGTTCTTCTTGTGTGTCACTTCCTCTTATTGAACGGGATGAGATGCATATTTTATATGTTGAAACTCTAATGATTTTGAAGTTTTTTAATTCTTACTCTTTGGAAGATTATGAAATGGCTTGGTACTGCATCTAATGAGGTAGAGAATAATATTTGTATTTGAATTGTTGATCATTGTATTCGGCTGATCATACAATGGCTTTCTTTCTGCTATTGATAGAAGCTATGGTGTATGTTCCACTCCAGATTGCAGATTGGAGCTTCGTTCTTATTGATGGCTTTGAGTAAAACTCTAATAAGTAGAACTAATTTCACAACTTGGACCCTTCTTTACCTCCAATCAAAAGTTATTACATTGGAATGGATCTGAATTACGATACAATATGAAAACATTTTGTGCTTGAAAAGAAACAAGACTAAAATGACACTAGTATAAATATGTTGATCTTCCTTTTTCATTAAAAATTCTAAAATCAAGAAGTAATCTTACTAAAAACTTTGCACATAAAATTAAACATAAAAAATGGGTTTCGAATTTAGAAGATTTAAACAAATCAATGCACAAGAATATCAACTTGCAGTTTCCGAAAACAAAGATCAAATGGAGACAAAGGATGATAGTTATTTCATCATTGTGGATAAAGAAGGAAAGATTGTTATTCCAGACACCATTGGAATCAAATTGGCTGACATGACAGAATTGGAAATTAAGGTTCAAAAAAAAAAAAAAGCAGGCATTGAAAAGTGGAAGAAAATTCATATTGCAGAAAAAGTAGATGCTTCAGATCAGGAAAGTTTATTGAAAACCATTGAGAATCAATTGAAAACCAATAATATATTAGATATTTCGTTAAGTTCAGACACTCATAAAGCAATTAATGCTCTCACTCA